CTCTAGAACCGTCTCGGCCAGCGACTGAAGACTGGTCAACGCGACCTGGGCAAACACGCAAACTGGAAGGGTAGTGTCAGCCGCTGGACGGGGAGAAGAGACAAAGAGGCAGACAATCCTCACAGGCAGTGGAGGTGCAGCCAGGTTTCCAAATCACTGTCCTAATGATTTCACAACTTGCACTTACAACAGCGACTGGAGTTAAACGTCTCAAAGCGTTTAACAAAGACAGAGGGTAGGAGTGGGGGTCCGAGCAGAGTGTGAAATATGGGGGAGGGGGTTAGGAGGGAGATGGCAAATGGAGCAAGCAAGGATAGGTTTTTCAAAGGGTTTTGAAAGTGGGGAGAGAGGGGGCCAGGCAGAAGGATTTCGGGAATGAGAACAAGGTGGCTGATGGATCGCACACCCATTGTGGAGTGGGAAAGACAAGGGGATACGGACTGGAGGGAGTGGGAAGGGGAGTAGGACTTTGGGACACTACCCTGTGTGGAGGGCGCTATATAAGTGCAAGTTGTCGTAAGTTGTTGTTGAAGGACAGCAAGAGATCACAAAGGCAGGGTGGGGTAAGTACCCTGTGAAACCAACACATCACGTCTTAACCAAAACATAACTACATAGAGGCCGGTCAGAAACCAGGGCACTGGACACAGTGAAGAAAGAGTTGGAAGTCATCGAGGTGGGTATTTTGGAAAGACACAAGGGCTTTCTTCATCCAAACTTCTCGTGACCCCTAAACGTTTTGAGGGTCAATAAAACAAGACTCGTTCAAAATGAAGCATGTGAACCTCGACTAACTTACCATCAACCAATCGGTTTATAATATTTTCAGGTTGTTTCTCCCTCAATGTTTCTGGTCCTTATGAGGAGTGGCGCTGGTGAAACAACAATCCTTGCATTTGATTTAGCACAAAGCTAAAATGTCATTGTCAAGTGTTGTCCAGTGTCACGACTGTATATTGTAGGTGAACGCCACAGCCAATTTGGGCAAAGCAATGACCCATAAACAGCCATAAAGTGGATGATTGATTTATCTGGAGGATTTTCGTACAAGACAATACCATGGGTAAAAGATTTTTTAATGTCTTCCTGAACAGGCGACTGCAATCTTAGTTTAATGCCTCATCCAAGGGATAGCACCTTCGACAATACACTGCCCCTTCAGCACAAAAAATTGTTATACAATAATAATAATAATCCTCGCATTTGACATAACACCTTATCACGTCTTTGAGACGTCTCAAAGTGCTTCACAGAATATACTGTAAAGTGAATGTTTTTTTCAGGGTGTGGGCAAATCGCGGCAGCCAATCGCACCAGCAGTGTCCCACAAACAGTCGTGGATTGAGTGACCAAATTATTATTATTATTTTTGTTATCAGCAGCAGATCAGGAAATTAAACAATGGGTTATAAATTACAATGAAATACTGAATCACTATTCTGTGGTTTCAACCTCCTCCTCCCTCAGGACAAGCTGAAAAGTTTTAAGTTTTATTTGCTTCGAACTTGGCAACTTGTCAATCAGCAACTGCAGACCTAGACATAACTAAAGTGAAAAATCGCCGATAAGTTTTGTACAACTCCATTGGAAAACATCCTGGCATTATGAAGCAAAGTGATGCTTTGCAAAAGTTGGGAGCGAGAACATTGTGTTCCAATGAAACCACTTTTCCAGCATTATACTTAACATTAGGTTTTACTTTCCATTCCTTACCAGGTCAAACTCTTTTCACGAAGCACTGAAAGCCAAGCAAATACATATTTTAAACTCGCTGATGAAGAACTTTAAGATCATCTTTATTAGCTCACAAAACCTGCAGATGCTAAACCTTTGAGGACAGTCTGTTTTATAAGCTAATCCTCAGACTACTGTTGCTAACTGTTATTTACAAGGCAATGCCACCGAAATCAGCATTTTCTTTTGATTTGATTTTCAACGAGTTGATTCAAAGACACTGTGTCACAATAATTCTTACATTTTATACGGTGCCTTTCGTGAGACATCACAAAGCGTTTCACAGAAACTTTATAGTGCAGAGTGTAGTGACTGTGTATTTTGTTGGGAGAAACGCGGCAGTGTCCCACAAACAGTCATGGATTTTTTTTTGGAGGGATTATTACCACTGGAAAGTGATCCGCCAATCGATTAATAACCACTTCCCTACTTACTGCTGGGTAAACAGTGGAGTTGCATAAGGTTTTGTCCCACCTGGGAATCGAACCCAGGTCCTCTCACTTGCGAGGCGAGTGCTCTAACCATTAAACTACAAGACTCCACTTCTCGTAGCTCCGAGCGTGGAGGTTTTGTAGAACGGAAAACGTCTCCTTCTGAAAGCTCAAACCACTGAGTTCTGCCGTCTGTGGTATTATTAGTGGTTTGGATCAGACTTCAAGTTCAGTGGGTTTAGGTCAACTGACTTTAACCCTAAACAGAGTCAATTTACTCTTCCTACCTCGAGTTTGAATGTGTTCAGTTGCATACAGCTATTCCCACTCCTGCCGTTGCCTCCCATGTCTCCCTTACTGTACCAGTCTGGGTCTTATCAAACTCGCTTTGTTTAGATGGGAAGAAACATAAGGTGGGGAGCTAGATAGCAGGTCTATCTATAGCACGCCCAGCGAGAAATACAGAAGATGTGGCCGGGTTTTAAACACCAGGAATTGAGTTCAGTGGCTCACGAGGCAATGTTTGTGAAAAAAAAGAGCCGTGGAAAGTGGATAAAGAGCTGCATTTTCAGGGTGTTCACTTCAACATTGGACTGTTCACACGAACGCACAGGACCTCACAAAGGTTACAGCTCAGACAGAGGCAATTTACAGCATTGCATCTCTGGTGGTGCTAACTCCAGTCCTCTGCTATTATCCCTGTAAAATGTTGTCACTGTGTGTGCAGGTAAAAAATGGCAGCCAATTTGCCCTCAGCAAAGTCCCATTAATAGCCGTAAAGCGATGACTGATCTTATATGGGGAATTGTTGGCCAGGCGATCGGGGAAAACTCTTTCTCTTTTCGAATAGAGCCACAGGATCTTTAACATCTACTTGAACAGGTTGGTTTAACGTCTCATCCAATAATGTATCGTATCCCTATCACAGTGTGAGTGTCAGCCTAGACTATAGAAGTTAAACGTCCCGATGTGGGGCTTGAACCCACAACCTTCTAACTAAGAGGTTACCAACTGAGCCGGGCTGATGCACGACATTAGAATTAACTGAATTAGCACTCCTTAGTTGCTTAAAGACCCCTCTGGCAAAATTAATCTGATCTAAGCATAACTAAAAGTTTTGGGAAAAGATTTATACAACAAAACACATGTTTGGCTTGAGTTTTTGCCTTTCAGTTCTGATTTCATTTGCTCCAATTGATTTGACTGATAGATGTTATACGAGATGCACTGTTGGCTTTCTATGTTTGATGCAGATGATGCTGTTCTTTCTGTTCCTGAAGAGCTCCAGCTGTGATGTTTGACTTCAGGCTTCAAGCTTAAAGTGGGCTAAGGTCAATGTGACCAAACCGGGGCTCAGTGTAAATGTCAGTCCGGCTTAGCGTTGGTCACACTCTTGCCTGTGGGTTAGAAGGCTGTGGATTTAAGTCCTTCTCAGGGCTTGGGAGTGCAGGCTGACAGTCTGAAACAGCATTGTCAGAAGTGCCATGACCCACTGAACTGAGCTCCTGAGCTGGATTGGACATCAAAGATCCCATCATTCAAAAAGAGTTTCTCCCGGTGTCGTGGCCAATTAATCCTCCTGATAATTTGGGTTATTTTTCCTCAATAACCCGATATTGCACTTGACAACAAAATTCTGCGAAGCATCTCGAGACGTTTTAACGTAATAGGTGCTATATCCAATGCAAAGCTTATTGTGGAACAGAGCATTGGCTGTTTGTGGGACATTGCAGTATTGCCTGCCGTGTTCGCCCACAAAACACACACAATCACTCCACTTTCCAATAAACCCTGCAAAGAGTTTTGACATGAAAGGCGTTATAATAATAATAATCCTCGTATTTGACATAGCGCCTTACGTTAAGACGTCTCAAAGAGTATAGTGAATTGACTGTATATTTTTGGGGCGAAAAGTTATATCAAATGTAAGTTTTTTTAAAAAAGATATGCACATGTCAACTCGCGGATCACAAGAGAGATTTGGATGAAGAAGACCCTTTGGCTTATTTATTCTCATCCTTTAAGAATACTTGCTCTACTGTCCACCTACGACAGCATCAAGTAGTTTCTTAAATGAGTCCAGGGTCTTGGGAACCTATTCCAGTTTGCTTATCACTTTGAATAGCCTTCACTAGTTCGTCCTCAGCAACCAATTATGTTAGATCTCCATGTTTTTAAGTGGTTTTAAGAGGTTATTTATTTCCCTTTAGGGAGCTAATAAAACATGGAAATTCTAGACTCTCTAAACTCATTTCCCAGGACATCCCAGTCATCAATACATCGTCACCGCAGTAGACAATAAATTTGCAGGAATTCAATTTCCTTACATAACTAAGGGTCTGTAGTGGCTGTCATTTAATAATAATAATAATCCTTGCATTTGATATAACGTCTTAACAAATCTTCGAGACTTGTCAAAGCATTTCCCAGATTATACTGTAAAGTGAATTGACTGTACATTTTGTGGGTGAAATCGTGCTCACCAGGTTCCCCTGAACTCCCCTGCATTCACTTTATGTTCCTCGTCCTGACCTTCGCTTGTCACTCACTCTCTACATCTACAATCCCCTCCAGTCCTGTTGTTCCGCCCACACGCTCAGCTCCTGCAACTCCGGCCAGCTGTACTTCCCTCAGCAAGGATCCTCTGAGAATGGAAATTCTAAATCACTTATAGCTCATTCCCTTAGGCTGTTGGGAGTCAAATAACCGTGCCATAATGAAGATGGACTGGATCTGGGGATGTGGAATCCTGAGGTGTGGAGGCAGAGCTGCAGATCAGAGCTCAGTGATTTTCACTTCCCCCCCAGCGCCATTCCCACCCTCGTGCCTACTTACCTGTCAATCAAACAGCGATGTCAGCCTTCAGATCAAGTTGGTCATTTCTTCACAGCTGTCTGTGGGGCATCGATGATTGGAAATCGGCTTCTGCATCTGCCTACGAAACACACAACCGCTGCATTTTACTGCAATTATCTTTGGGACAGTTTGACATACCGTATCAAGTGTAAGGATTATTAAATTATATTATTATTAGTTTATCCTCGGAAACCACTGCAGCTCAAAGAGATTTGCTTTTCTATGTAAGCCTTTCTGATTGCCTGGCTGAGATGGCCGATTTAGGGCCAATTAGAGGGAATTCAGCACAGTTGTGCGTTCTGAACTTCTGCCCACGTGGAACTGGAATAAAACTGTCCAGACTCGTTGCTATCAGGATCTCCGCAGCTGATACAACAGAAGAGACCTTTATCCCCAACATCCTGGCCTGGATTCAAACCCAATTTCAAATTTTCAGGGAGGAAAGGGCAGAGCGTCAGTTCGCTTATTCACTCACATTCCCTGGGCCAGAACATTACCAACACAGGTCTTGAATCGCACTAACTCAGTGGATACTGCAGTTTGGGAGATCGCCCACAGAGATGGTGGAAAACAAGCATCTCTACGATCTGCCGGGATGGATTCTCGGACTTGCTCTGCTTTCCTGAACTCACTTTCTAAACATAGACTATAAACTGGGGTAGAGAGGGGGAGGGGGAGAGCCAGGGGTGTTATTATTATTATTTTTTGAAGGGATTAAGAACCACTGATTAGCAGGTATGTATTCAGCAAAGCAACCCTGCCAAGGAAAATCATAGCCATGTTGTTTAACTTTGGACGTGGTACATTCTGATGCACATTATAAAGTTTCGGCTCCTTTCTGCCAATCACCCAAGGCACCTATTGGACAGGCCAGCAGCAAATTCTTTCCAACGCAAGCAAGTTTCCATAAGCACAGCAATTTAATAAATTTTACACACCTTTCACATAAGCTCTTCTTAACGTCAACAGAATAGCTTAGCCCTGTGCGCTTATGTAAGCAACAAGGAGGCTGAGCCAGTGAGCTGGGACACTGAGACACGAACTCGGAGGGTCAATGCTGCTCATGTTGAAACAGGCGTGTAGGGAGCAGCAGGATATTTTAAAGCGGTGATGAACATTTTCTTTGGAAGCAGGGACTTGCTCAGAGAAATAATGTAGGCTGACAATCCGATGCGAGAAGGAGGAAACATCATTCAAATGAAACAGAACTTATAATAATAGTAATAATAATAATACTTAACTTGATATAACACCTTATCACGTCTTCGAAGATATCAAATGCAAGGATTATGATTATTATTATCACTCGTCACTCTCAGAGCACTTGTTAACCATAACTTATTTTTAAATTCCGGGCAGTGCAGCGGGATAGGAAGGATGTTAATTACAATAATTATAGATGTCGCTGAAACCGTTAATATGCATGGATGACCTTATCATTCCTTCAACATCCACGCATGTTAAATATTAAAATCGCTCCGAGTCATGACCTCCTATTAATATGTCTTAAAAAGTGTCTGGCCTGACTTGCTTGACCTCACGACTTGAGGGGCCACCAATCCAGCTCTAGCAACACCACATCACTGGCCTGGACTGATAACAGGCAGCGCTACTCGCTTCACTGCTGTTTATAGGACAATGCAATGCACAAATTAGCTGCAACGTTCACTCACCTATGAAATACCCAGTCACTATACTTTATACTTTAATAAAAAAAACTGTGAAACCCTTTGAGACACCCTTCTCACATGAGAAAGGCACTATATCAAATGCGAGGACTATTATAATTATTATTATGATGATGATGGTGTGAGCGTGGCTCATTTGGTAAAACTCTCGCCTCAGTCAGAAGGTTGTGGGTTCAAACCCCATGTCGTGGCGCTCCAATACACTGTGGGGGGCGGTGGGGGGGGCATTCCATTGTGGGAGTTGCCGTTCTTCGGATGAGACGTTAAACCGAGGTTTCTCCCGGGAGGAGCAATCTCCTCCGACGGAGAAAAAGAAAATTTGCGGGGCGGTTGCTGTGCGCCAATTGGCTGCCGCCGTCACCACCAAAATACACAGTCACTACAGCTTTACAGCCAATCCTGTGAAGCGCTTTGAGACGTTCACTGAGGGGTGAAAGGCGCAATATCAGAGGCAACAACAAATGACATCTGTACAGCGCCTTTCGGGTCGGGAGGACATCCCAAGCCACTCGTCAGTCAGGGATTTGGACCCGAGCCAGGATTATATAAAAATTTTAATTTCTGTTCCTACACGAGAAAAGTATTTACAGTATTCCCTTTCTCTTTGCAAAAGACAAAACAAGGAGTGCTGATAAGAGGGGAGAAGTGGCTGGTGTGGGGGGAGGAGGAGCAGTGAGTGGGTTTGGAAGAGAAGTGGGGAGTCTGAGATCACTGCTCCTTGTGGTGTCTGTCTATTAGTAAACCTTCTCACCTGATTGGGACATATCCACACATGGTGTCAGTTCGCTGACTCCATCTATTGTAATTCACAGGATATTACAATGAGCAACACAGCAACAGCAGGTAATAACAGGGGCTTAGGTTAGGGACATCAACACACACACACACACACACCACACACACAGATACACAACACAACACAGAGAACACACAACACAGAGAACACACAACACAGAGAACACACAACACACAGAACACACAACACACAGAACACACAACACACACAGAATACACAACAACACAGAGAACACAGAACACACAACACAGAGAACACACAACACAGAGAACACACAACACACAGAACACACAACACAGAGAGCACACAACACACAGAACACACAACACAGAGAACACACAACACACAGAGAACACACAACACAGAGAACACACAGAACACACAACACACAGAGAACACACAACACAGAGAACACACAACACACAGAGAACACACAGAGAGCTTTGCAGAGCAGGGACAAGACATGTTGTCAGCACAGCCGGTGGGTTTGGGCAGTGAAAGCTTCAGGTACCTGTGTCAGCCCTGAGACCCGGGGAGAGGGGGTGAAGTCTCGCCGCTTGTGTTGCTGCTACAGCACCGTGTCTGACAGCGGGAGGGAGGGAGGGAGGGAGGGAGGGGGAGAGGAGGGGAGGGGAGGGATGGAGAGAGAGAGGAGGGGAGGGATGGAGAGAGAGAGAGACAGGAGTAGAGATGGAGAGAGAGAGGAGGGATGGAGAGAGAGAGAGACAGGAGGAGGGATGGAGAGAGAGAGAGACAGGAGGGATGGAGAGAGAGAGAGACAGGAGGGATGGAGAGAGAGAGGAGGGATGGAGAGAGAGGAGGGATGGAGAGAGAGAGAGAGAGAGGAAGAGAGAGAGAGGAGGGATGGAGAGAGAGAGAGAGAGGAGGGATGGAGAGAGAGAGAGAGAGAGAGAGAGGAGGGATGGAGAGAGAGAGAGGAGGGATGGAGAGAGAGAGAGGAGGGATGGAGAGAGAGAGAGAGAGGAGGGATGGAGAGAGAGAGAGAGAGGAGGGATGGAGAGAGAGAGAGAGAGGAGGGATGGAGAGAGAGAGAGAGAGAGAGAGAGGAGGGATGGAGAGAGAGAGGAGGGATAGAGAGAGAGAGAGAGGAGTGATGGAGCTGCACTGGACGAGCGTTCGCTTATTCCCAGAACGGCGGAAACAACCGATCTGTTCTCTGGAAACTACCGAAGTCCCTCTGCGGTCCTCAGCTTCACACACACACACATCCCATCCCAGCACATCCCAGCACAGTACATCCCATCCCAGCAGATTCCCATCCCAGCACATCCCAGCACAGTACATCCCACCCCAGCACATCCCATCCCAGCACATCCCATCCCAGCACATCCCATCCCAGCACATCCCATCCCAGCACAGCACATCCCAGCACAGTACATCCCATCCTAGCACATCCCATCCCATCCCAGCACATCCCACCCCAGCACATCCCATCCCAGCACATCCCATCCCAGCACATCCCATCCCAGCACATCCCATCCCAGCACAGCACATCCCAGCACAGTACATCCCATCCTAGCACATCCCATCCCATCCCAGCACATCCCATCCCAGCACATCCCATCCCAGCACATCCCATCCCAGCACAGCACATCCCATCCCAGCACAGCACATCCCAGCACAGTACATCCCATCCTAGCACATCCCATCCCATCCTAGCACATCCCATCCCATCCTAGCACATCCCATCCCATCCCAGCACATCCCAGCACACACCATCACACAGGGTATTCTTATAACGTCTAATAAAACATTGTCTTTCTTTCTCATATATATAGAGAGAGCGAAAGAGAGAAAATGTGTTGTTAGACATTATAAAAAAAACTATTATACAATATAATATAGAATTTTTTTATATTTTATACTTTAGAGGGGCGGTAGGGAGAGGGGTTGGTAGCTGTCCGGTAAGTACCTATGCTCAGCAGAAAACAATTTACAGAAATAAAAGAAGTCATATCCTCAAATAAAACATAATAAATATTGCTGTGCGCAACTGGCTGTCGCGTTTCGCCCACAAAATATAGTCAATCCACTTTACAGTACATTCTGTGAAGCGCTTTGAGACATCTCGAAGAAGTGATATCAAATGCAAGGATTATTATTATTATAAATACCAAGAGTCTGGAGAATATAAACAAGTTAAAAATGTTAAGAGTTTTTAATTGTGAGTTCTAGTTTCCCTGCTTATATGAGACACATGGAATGCTAGTTTGTGTGAGGTAGGAGAGAGAGAGAGAGAGGGAGTGAGATCCAGGTTAATAGACACAAGCAATTCAGTCCATCTTCTTGCTTACAATTGTTTCCCACTTGAGATCAAATAAATAATCAAAGTACTTGAAGACCTGAATGGCGCCAAACCCAAGTACAATATTGCTGAATAAGTAAATATTTAGTGATATGAATAGTTAAATCACTCACTCACATCAGGGATATTCAGGAGAAACTTAAGATCTCCTGCATTAGAAACATGAGCGATCTTCATAAATATTGTTGTGCTTGAGCGTTAACACCAGTGACAAAACCACACAAGCACAGCGATATGGAGTGAAGTCAACCCACAGGATTCCGCATGAGCAAGAAGGCAACTGGTCTTGAGATGTTCGCGGATGTTTTCAATGGAGTGGAGAAGAGGAGCTTTCTAATAGGAGCTTTCAAAACTCTTCAGTCTTTTTGAGAGGAAAAATAGGGAAATAATCTTCCTACTGGCTTGGTGCATTTTTGCTCAGGTTAGCAAGAGCCAAGCACGTAGAAACAGGAGGAGGCCATTCAGCCCCTCGAGCCTGTTCTGCCATTCTATATGATCATGGCTGATCTGTATCTCAACTCCAGCTATGCCCCATGTACCTTGATGCCCTGACCTAACAAACATCTATCCACCTCAGTCTTGAAGATGTTTTGGGGAGAGTTCCAGATTTCCACTGAACTTTGGGAACCACATGTGAGTTTGGGTAACCAGTTAAAACCTCATCTCTTGCCACTGAGAGCGCTATCTGGCAAGCTTCCCACTGCTTGTCTAGCTAGGATCACCATACAAATTAGGGCTTTGGCTTGCAGGGTCACCAGGAACAAGCATTCTTCCCACTCAGAACTGTCCCTAATGACCGGTCTACTCCTTCAAGTCCTGACAATGAGCCAGACTGGCTGGTCTGTCAACAGCATTGCCCGGGAGTACTGCGGACCTGCCTGGCTCAGAAACCAGACTATCTGGACCGCCCCACTGGGTTGACTTGATTCCGACATTCCGTTACCAAGCATGTCTTCTTGGAATCAGTTCAGCCAACAATTCAGACTCCATTGCGAAACACTCTGACTTTATCTCGGATGACAAGTTACCTCGCAAGCGAGATGACCCGGGGTTGATTCCCGGGTAGGGTGAAACCTTAGGCAGGTTTCCTTCTCTACACGCCTGTTTACCTAGCAATAAGTAGGAACCCAGTTGTTAGTCGATTGGTGGATTGTTCTCCAGGGATAATAATCCCTTCAAAAAAAATGTGGTCACTCAATCCATGACTGTTTGTGGGACACTGCTGTGCGCAATTGGCTGTCGTGTTTCACCCACAGAATATACAGTCAATTGACTTTTATTTTTTTTGAAGGATTATTACCCCTGGAAAGCGATTTAACAACCGGGTTCCTACTTGCTGCTAGATAAACAGAGCTGTGTGGAGTAAGGAAACTTATCGAAGGTTTCGCCCCGCCCTGGAATTGAACCTGGGTCATCTCGCTTGTGAGGCAAGTGCTCTAACCACTGAACTACAGGACTCCACAAATGTAACTCTATCTGTGATCGCAGCCAGAGGCTGACCTACTGAGGAAAACTATGATGCCTTAGTTCCTCTTAGTTTCAAGTAAATATACTTTTTATCATCATTAATGGCTTTCCAGCTGATTTTGATGTACAGCAGTTTATACAGGTTTAACCGTGAGATTAGATTTATAAATGCCATTAAGACAAACTTGCACTATTTAACTTACTCCCTGGGATTTGTTATTTTATATTGCATAAACTATTTTTGTTTTTGTACAGTTAGACTTGAAATGGTTATTTCTTATCTCTCTGGAGGGTGCTGCAGTGTCTCAGCGCCTTGTGGAAGGAAGTTTTAATGCACTGAAGCTTGTGCTCTGTGTATTTTAATAAGGAGGAAAAATAAATGATTTTGATTAACTGCCTCAACTTCAGGCAGGGCCAATACAGGTTTTTTCCTCTTGCTTTGCTGTGAGAGAGATTGTGGCACAATGTTAGCCTTGCGATGCATGAGGGAAAATGATACCCGGCAAATTGTCCTGACAGCAGTTAAACATGAGTAGTTATTGCTACATGTAATCAAGCCTGCTTTTCTGTCTGTGAGCTTCTTTCATTGCCTATTAGAGCAATTACCTTGAAGGAGAGGACTCAGGTGCTTACTCCACACACCTCTCTGTACTCAGCAGTAAGTAGGAACCTGGTTGTTAGTCGATTGCCGGATCGCTTTAAGGGGTAATGATCCCATCCAAAAAACGGTCAGGGCTGAATGCCTCCTCCATCCTGTGAAGTCCTATGATTCTGTGATCAACACTCATCACACTGTTGTTAATTCATGCCCAAAACTATAATAATAATCCTTGCTTTTAATATAACGCCTTATCAATCCGCTAATTTGCCAATTTGTCCACAGTACTATTCCGCAAATAGCCATGAATTGAATGACCACTTTTATCTTGTTGGGGCCTCTAACATTGCAATGCTCCCCCTTAACACTGTGTTGGTGCGTCAGCCTGGGACTAGGGGCTGAAATCCTGATGTGGAGTTTGATCCCACAACCTTCCCGCTCAAGAGGCGAGAGAGCTACAAACCGAGCCAGACTGAACCTGAATCAGTACGAGCTGTTAAAGGGAATTAGACCACCCATTGAAAGGAAAGTGTAAGTGTATACAGGGAGAAGGCTGAGGGATGGGATGGGCCGATTTGCCTCCATCTGTGATTCCAACAATAAAAGCTAGAGTTTGGCGTTCAATTCAATAGGGCAATGGGTATCCGGGGGGGGGGGGGATTTCCAAGCTAATCTTATCTGGGAAATTAGATGAAAGTTACCAGCCAGAGTTTCACCCTCACCGTTCTTAATCTGAGGCTTTTGATGGTTTTATGGCCTTGTCTGCTCTCCCAGCTACTTATTGCTCTCAATGAGATTGGGCGATAGAGGATGTAACTTTCAGATTCAGTGTACAGTTGTAAAGGGTAAGTGTGTCGTGCGCTGCTCTCACAACGAAGGGACAAAGTTAGGGAGAAACCACTAAGACGTGAGGTCAGAAAACATTTCTTCAAACAGAGGTAAGTGAGAATACGGGACGCCCTGCATCAGAATAAATTGGGACATTTATATACAGTTCACATGCCCTGCCCCTGGCCACTGCAATAACCGTTTTGTTCACATTGTCTATGTAATGGGATTTCCCATTATGAGGATTCAGCAGAAAAGAGAACGATGAGGTTACAGTGGTCCCCAGTGAGACCAGACCCGGAAATCTACAGCAAATAACAGTGTCTGAAACTCGTTCACGCTTCTGAAACTAGTCAGAA